CTTAACTTTTACTGTGTATTACTAAAGACTACAGTTTGGAATTTGTTTTAAATTTGTTCCATCTTTTTTAGCGCCCACACCTAAGGTCAGCACCAATAGCTAATACCCCACTCGCCCGTTAACTACTTAGGTACGCCACTGACATCAAGTAGACTTGGTTATCATTGAGTCGATCTTACACGCATAACAATTGGAAAACATAAAAAGAAATAAAGAAACATTGTATAACCTACTCATTGGAGATTACAGAATGGAAAGGGAGGCTACAATTAAAATTATCCACATGCTTTGAGAATATTGTGATTATATCCCTTGGCAAAGATTTCAAAAGAATATGCTTATTTTAGTTTTAAAATAAATCGGACTTTCTTGTATTCCCGCGGCAACGCGCGGGGACGGGTACGCTAGTATATATATATATATATATATATATATATATATATATATATATATATATATATATTCCCGTTGCCGCGGGAATACAAGAAAGTCCGACTAAATATATAAGAAGGATTTCATCCATGCGTTACCAATCCTATATTCTTAGACTCGTGACCTTGTTTTCTAAGTTATTTAAATGTAAACAATGCCTGCGCTTGGATCATAAATATCGGGACACGGGTTTACCTACACTACAGCATGAAAACCTTGAGTGTACATTAATCACTCATCGAAAAAATGAGGAAGAACACACTTCGGTAACCACCCGTGTGTCAGGGATCGTAGAAGGGCGCTCTCAGGAGCCCCTCCCCCCCTGCGATGACACTACCGCATAGGCGCAGCGTACGGCCCCTGGCTCCTTAAAACTAACGGGCGCCATCGTGCTCATAGAATAACCCAGAGTGCCAAATAGCATCCTGTTAACAATGATGCAGATTTCGTCATTTCCTAAAGTGACACAAATGAACAGGACTTTTTCTTTAACACGTAAACACATTATTTGACGTGTTTTAAACATCACTGTGACTGATGCAATATGTTAGCGTAACTAATGGTCTATTCTTAGATGCTCGATCTCAATTTCTGATTGGGATGTATAAAAACAGATGCTAATTACATCATTCGCAAAGTGACGAAACAGTTTGGATTTTTTTTACGAACAAAAGGAAACATCCCTGTTAATAATCTAACCTTTGTTAATTTTTCTGATTATTAAAATGAAACGTATTATATGACCCTCAGCGGCCCGTGTGAGATTTTGGGGGCCGAAAAAGAAATTTTATTTGCAGCCAAATCGCACTCTACCAGCGCGCCAACGGACACGCCTGATTCAATTTAGTGAGCATTTTTAACGCTCCATCCTATCCATTGTCTATCACAATTTTTCTCACGGGAAAGACCATGGCACCCGGATAAAATGTGTCGAACCGCAATCGTCTTTTATTTTTATATACCGTATATAAAGAAAAATCCAACCACCCTGTGGCGCCGCCCATGCGAAATTAAAAATGATTTTTTTACAGAACCCTTCCCTGGAGTGTTCTAATCAACTACCAAAAGTTTGATGGCTATCGGATGAACGGTGTGAAACCACAATCGACTTATATTTGTACATACCTTATGTTGAGTGAAAACAAATAGCGCGCTGCCGGGGCGCCACCCCTGCGAATTTGAAAATGTTTTTACGCAAAAACCTCCCCATAAATATTCTCACCATCTTCCCGAAGTTTCATGGCGATAGTGTGAACGGTGTCACTGCAATTCACTTTTATTATTTTTATTTACCGTACATAGAGAAAAATCGCACCCTCCTGTGGCGCCGCACTTGCAAAATTAAAAATGATTTTTTTTACAGAATCCTTTCCAAGAGTGTTATAATGAATTCCCTAAAGTTTAATGCCTATCAGATGAACGGTGTCAAATTAAAATCGACTTTTTTTAAAATACCGTACATAGAGAAAAATCACACCCTCCCGTGGCGCCACCCTTGCAAGGGCGGCGCTATAGGTAGGTGCGAATTTCTCCATTTACGGTATATAAAAATAAAAGTTGATTGCGGTTTCACGGCGTTCATTCAATTACCATAAAACTTTGGGGAGTTGATTAGAACACTTCAGGGAAGGTTTCTTTAGAAAAATATAGAACTACAAATTCGATATAATACTTATATATAGAATTTCGTCAACATGACTGAAACGATACTCAAGACACACAGACATACGGATAAAATTGCAAATATTAACTTTTTCCGACTCATGGAGGTGTAAAACGTTGAGATTTTTAAAAAATCGATTTTGATTTGTGCACGATTACAAGACGTTCTCTATACTTCGAATACGAGAGTAATATGGAAACTTAGTTTAAGCTACTACAAAATCATTAGCACACAACTTGTTTTAAGTGTTAGTATGTCATTTTAAAGAGAAAATTTTTATTCATTTTTCAATTTAAATTTAAGTCTGATTTTGGTTAGTTGAAGAACGAAAATCATTTGAATTCTAGTTTTATTTCAGATTAGATTTTTATTATTTAAATGTGATTATTGGCTTTTTTCTTTTTTTCCGAATTAGATTTCATAGAAGTTTTGTTTTGTTCTTTGTTTTTCTTTTGTATTGTTTATCGGAATAAAGCATACATTGTTGTTTATGTTTTTTTTTCAGTTGAATTGTACATGCTATTTGTATAATCTAGCTTTGAGAAATGTATTAAAAATGAATAGATTTTAATTCGTGATAAGTTTATACCTAATCATTTATAATATTTAAAAAAAATTATTATAGAGAATTAACAAGCCTATAGTTAACATCTAATTTTATAACATCCACAAACATAGGTATGATTTGTAAAACCGACTTTATTTGAGTCCAATATGAGGTATAATAAATTAGCTGTACATAGATTTATTATTACATAAAGTAAATTTATGTTCATGACCCACATTAGATAATAAAAAAAAAACTCTATGCAAAGTTAATAATAATTATAATAAACAAAAAATACTCGGCTCTTAAAAGTATGTTCAAAATTTTATAAAACATATTTTCGCGTTTTTATATAGAGACAGTGTGGTTGAACAAGGCCCGGTTTTCCAGAAACGAACTTCGTTTCTTTTAGAAATTTTTTTCGGAGGAAGGGGTTGGCTTATGAAACTTTTGGAGTGAGGGTGGATGTAATTAAATTTCAGACAGGGTGGGTGGGGGAGGCGGACACTGGTAAAAGTATATATTTCTATTTTGTTTGGAGGTAGGTGTGTGTGAGGGGTGGGGGGGGGGAGGTAGACGTGCTTCGGATTTTTTTTATCACCAATGTTTGATCTTTGAAATACCATAAGGGGTCATCCATTTATGACGCCCGCACTGAGGAAGGAGGGGGGGGGAGGCGGGTCCGAAAAAATATACTTTTGTTGACACATGTGGACTGAGGGAGGGGATTCTGGATTATGTGGATGTCCACATGTTACATTTAACATTGAAGGGCTTACATTCTTAAACATCCCAGCGTGTAAATAAAGCACGGTATTCATTTGTACCCTAACATTATTGCAAAAGTGTCGTCATACTTTGTGAAACCTCCTCCTAACCTTCTTGAGTGTGACGTCATTTTTGGAAGACTCCTAAATAAAAATAGTACCTTTTCGGTAAGCGACCTATGTAGTAAACAGAAATAGAGGTATGAAGCCAAGGAGGCCTTGCGACTTATTAATCTTATAAATGCTAATATTCATCATTAGCAGAACGGTTTGAAAAGTGTACTTTATGTGATCGTCCGCGTCGGGCGGAAGGGGGGGGGGGGGTCATCAAAAGTGGACGCGTATGGACGTAGGGATGGTGGGTCTAAAATCCGTAATTTTTGTGGACGTCATAAATTAAATGGATGACCTTTAAAGCTTTTATTTGAAACGAAAATTATTTTATAATTGTAATTTTTCTTAGTACAGTAAGTAACTGAAATTAAAATTACACAAAGCATGCACATCTCCATGCACGTTGATTTGCACTTTTCAACGTTGTGCAATAAAACTAACAATGGAATGATTTTCTTCAGAAATTGGCTTGTGTATTTCAAAGTATGCGTAAAAGGTCTTATTCATATAAATATATAAGAAAATAAATAAATAAAATAAATAAATACATCTATACACGTATATATATTATGATATATATATATATATATATATATATATATATATATATATATATATATATATATATATATATATATATATATACACTTATCAATTATCGATTTTGTTCTAGACATATTAATGGTAAGTAATGTCATAAACTCTTATGACATACATTTCACAAAATGTAATTTTAGCAGACGAACAAAACGAAAGTTCATGAAAGAGCAAACCAGAGGCTTAGCGACCCATCCCGGCGCTCGGGGACAAACTTTTCGATTTGCACCCCTCCTCAAACTTTCGATTTGCACCCCCCCCCCCCTCAAGATTTCGATTTGCACCCCCTCAACCTTTCAATTTATTTTTCCAACCCATTTTGGCTCCCCCTAAGGTCAGCACCCGGGGACATATGTCCCCCCGTCCCCCCCGTCCCCTCCCCCCCCCCGCTACGCTACTGAAGCAAACTAATGGTCAACATAAAGTATACGATCTGCTCTAATAAGGTACTGAGATAAAGCTTACAAGAAAATTTACAAAATTTTCGTTGACTTTGATATCCGTTTTATTTTTCATGTTATCAACAATAGTAATTTTAAAAGCATTTCCATTTTTATCCCAAGAATATTCATAGACTGCAGTAAGCAATGCTATGTTCTATTAAAACACGTTTTTCATAAAAAAAATATCTACACATTTTTAGAATCACAATAAATTGTAAACAGAGATATGTATTAGACTATTAATGTAATATATTTACATTTTAATTTATTATATTCCAAACGTTTTTTTTAAATCCATTTGCATATAATTTAGTAAATTCGCTGAACAGTAGGTTTTTTTATTTTTAAAATATAGTAAAAAGAGTCCGCTTTTTTAATACAAGATTTTCATTAAGATGCAATGCATTTTAGAATTCCATGTCGGCACATGCTGGTTCGTCGCTTTATGCTACATTTTTATTCGCTGACATTAATCTGGGGAAAATAGGAACAATTAAATTAAACTGCAAGTATATGAATGTTAAAAAGTAAATAAAAATCAAAGTCTCTAGCATCAGCTCAAGTAATAAACTAAAGTTACTAATATCAGCTCAAGTAAAAGACAATAAAGTTATTAGCATCAGTTCAAGTAAATGAAAATATTAACCTTACTAACAAAAACAGCAGTTAAAGTATAAGAAAAAGGAAATATTACTTACAATCTGCACGCCATATACCGAATCATGCTAACTCTGAGCAATGGCACGCAATTGAGAGGTGTAGTGGTCCTGGTGGTTGCTGTCGTCGTAGTTGACCTTGTTGTTGATGTAGTTGTTGGCCGCGTGGTTGTCGTAGTTGTTGTTGCAGTTGTTGGTCTGGTGGTTGTTGTAGTTGTTGGCTGGGTAGTTGCTGTGGTTGTCTGTTTTAGTCTGTAATACATATAGCAAGTTGTGTTTATATTAGAATCAGATGGTTAATTGTATTGTTTTAAAACATGAACTGTGTCAATATACAAAATGTGATAATTTACAATAGATCCTGAAAGTTATTCAAACATAGATTAAAAAAAAACACAAAATAGAAATTAAACTTTGTGTCAATATACAAAATATGATAATTTACAATAGATATTGAAAGTTATTTAAACATAGATTTAAAAAAAAAAACACAAAATAGAAATGAAACTTACAACAAGCAGGCCCTATATTTTATAATATCTACTCTCAGAAACTGGACGCAATCATCTTGAGGTGTAGTAGGCCTGCTCGTAATTTTATCCACACATTTTCCAGCCACACACCACTACAAGTGGGATCAGTAATAACCAAATTAAAAATTGAAGCTCCAACTGACTGTCGTTTATATACTTGGTTTTGTAATGTTTGTGACATCTAGTTTGTACTTTTTGTTTTATCTAGTTTGTAATATTTGTGATATCTAGTTTGTAATGTTTGCGACAACTAGTATTTTTTTTATGATTGTGATATTTAATTTGAAACGTTTGTAGCTTTTAGTTTGTATTGTATATCACATCTATGTAGGAATGTTTGTGACATCTAGTTTGTAACATCTAGTTTGTAATGTGTGTGACAACTAGTTTGTGATGTTTGTGACATCTAATTTTTGATATCTAGTTTTTATGTTTGTGACATCTAGTTTTTAATGTTTGTTACATCTAGTTTATAATGTTTGCGACATTGGTTTTTTGTTATGTTTGTGATATTTAGTTTTTAATGTTTGTGACATCTAGAACTTCACTTTTTTGTTATCTGAAAAGTCACACAGGGTGTTTTTGTTTTGAATGTAGCGATTTTGTCATAAAAAAACAAACATAATAAAACCAAAACAACAGTATCTAAGCCGACAACAATAACCAACAGCTTAACATTGAAAACACTGAACAACAATATGAAAACATCATCTGAAATATTCAGCAACAAAACTAAAACATGATCGGAACAATGAGCAAAAAAAATGGAAAGACCAGCAATAACACAGCGACACAATTGAAACTACGACCTTTGTGTTTGTTACTAAATCTCACCTTATTACTAGCACAGGGAGTGAACTCCTGTGGAATCATCGCTTGACATGTCGAACTTCCAGGAAGTTTACAAAACATTCCGCCACATAAATTCTGCTCTCCGCCTTGTGATATCTGTTGAGTCTATTCATCAATAATCAATTTACAATTTACACTCTTCATGTTTTACACTTCTAAACTTTACAAATATTTGCTTAAAATAAAAACAATTTGCATTGAAATTTTGATGCATAAAATATATGTCTACTCGTCTACGCCCCCGGATCGAAATATTATTTATATAGAAAATATATATACTTTCACCCGTGTCCGCACCCTCCCCCCACCCCAAAGTTTTTGCTAAAACTTTACCTTTTGATTATGTAAAAAAATGAAGATTGAAGTAACACTGACAACTTTAAAATGTAAAACGAAGATGTTTTTATGTGGTTTTAAGTGTTGTAATTGGCTATCTTCTTTCTTCTTCTTCTGGATTCTTAATTTTAGTGTTAGAAGGGATCCACTCCAACACAATTAAGTATACGTGTACAGTGGCGTAGCGAGGTCGGGTGTCACCCGGTGCGGCACTTAATGGTGTCACCCCCCCCCCCCCCAGAGGCGTTGCGACCCTTACCGGGGACACACTCCCTCAAACTTTCGATTTGCACCCCCCCCCCCTCAAGTTTTCGATTTGCACTCCCCCCCCCCTCAAACTTTCGATTTGCACCCCCCCCCCCTCAAGTTTTTCTCTCTATATTTTGACATTTTTTGCCTTGGTGTCACCCCCCTAAATGGTGTCACCCGGTGCGGTCCGCACCCCCCGCCCCCCCCCCCCCTCGCTACGCCCCTGTACGTGTACACTGGTTATGCATTGAGGCAATTGACTCCGATTTTGTTTTTGGATTTGCTTCCATAGCCTTTGTTCTACCAAGAACAACTACAAGGCAACAGTTGTTTGATTTTGGAGGTTTATCTCCTAGATGAGTTGCTGTCCCCAGTTGTCAAGCCTAATCTACCCGTGGGTTCGACCTCGAGACTTTTACCGACTCGACGATGCCGACCAGTTTCCTTATTTAAAAACTAACCCTGTCTTAGAATATTCCTTATACCGCGTTTACACTTGCGACATGTATACTATACATGTCTAGAAAAAAAAACTTCGCTTTAGGGCCTAATGTAATAGGGGAGCCTACTCACTTATTGCGAAGTTTTTTTTTCTAGACATGTATAGTATACATGTCGCAAGTGTAAACGCGCTATTAGAACGACTTACTCTACAGTAGGTGCTGGAGCTTGATCCAAAGAAATGTTGACACTGCTCGTCCCAATCCAGTATCTCCCCATCCCCTGAGCTCACGTCTTCCATTGACAGGGACTCTGAAGAGCTCGATGATGACTGGGACAACGTGCAAGTAACGCTGGAAAATTTGGTGTTGATTGCTAGTTAGGTGGGACGTCTTTGTGCTAGATATGGCATGCACGCAAACACAAGGTAACCTAGACGTTTATCATCGCTTTCTTACAAATCACAGACTACTTGCTAGATTACATGGCCATTTTATCTGTCTCAAACCTCAATTCTAGCTATCTTAAACTTTCTAGCTAATCTTAAACCCACATTTGTAGCCACCTCTAGACCTTCATTCGAATCATCTGCCATCGTAGTGATAACCGAATCCCAAACCATATCCTACATCTTCACTCTAGTCTTCTTATTCTTCGATCTTAATTTTAGTGTTAAAAGGGATTCCCTCAAATACAATTAAGGATACGTGTCAACTTGTTATGCGCCATTGAGGCCGTTGACTCCGATTTCAGCCTGCTTTACCTTTTTTGGATTAGCTTCCACAGCCTTTGTCCAACCAAGAACAAACTACAAGGCAGTAGTTGTTTGATTTCGGAGTTGTCTCCTAGAAGAGTGGCTGTCTCCAGCTATCTAATCTCATGTGCCCGGGGGATTAAACTAGGGATGTTTTTGTGTAGCAACCATGGCTTAGACCCCCCACTTTCTAAAGGATCACAAAAAGTATTTTCTTCAAACGGGATTTGACTTTTTGTGGCCAAATCGATCATTTCTTTTTCAAAAACGTTGTGGATGTCGTATTATCTTTGCATTGTATATATCAGCGGTTTAAAAATAATTACATTCAAATAACTCATGCCTGTCATATACAAATATCAAGAATACACACTAACAACAAAAGCATGTTATTCACTGACAGCTAGTAAAACCACTGACAACAAATACTGACAGCAAGAATAAAGCCACTGACAGCTAGTAAAACCACTGACAACAAACACTGACAGCAAGAATAAAACTACTGTCAGCTAGTAAAACCACTGTTATTAAACACTGACAGCAAGAATAAAACCGCTGACAGCAAGAATAAAACCGCTGACAGCAAGAATAAAACCACTGACAGCAAGAATAAAACCACTGACAGCAAGAATAAAACCACTGACAGCTAGTAAAACCACTGACAGCAAGAATAAACCAACGAAAGCAAGAATAAAACCACTGACAGCTAGTAAAACCACTGACAGCAAGAATAAAACCACTGACAGCAAGAATAAAACCACTGACAGCAAGAATAAAACCACTGACAGCAAGTGCACCAACTAACCTAAAACTTACGTTCTCAGATAACTTTTGAAGCTGTTGACTGAGCAAGTCGAGAACTTCCACGGGTTTCCCTCATTAACAGCAGACACAGGGATGACAAATGCAGACGACATTACAAATTGTTTGGCGTCAGAACAGCTTGTATCCTTATCATATACTGCAGACAGACTTAATTAAAGGGAGAAGTATTTTAATTTTCTGTATATACAATATCCATACATAATTTTAATTAATATCTTAAAATTTTTAACAAAATGTAAAATTTTTAAAAACTTCACATTGATCAAAAGTTAAAAATATATATTTTATAAATAAAGTTATATATTATAAAATAAATTGGTTTCACACAACTTATTTCATTGATCTTTGTTTAATGAATGATTGAAATCGTACCTGCGACCTAACTGTCTTGCAGCATCCAGCCCCACCATTCCACTGAACTGATTTTCTATGATAGAGACGCCATATTTGGTGCAGGTCCTTGATGGGTTGCCTGCTGCCGTTTCTGATGCGATATCGTGTCTGAGAAATACATTGACTAGGGTTATGTTGTGGATTGGATATCGTGTCTGAGAAATACATTTCCTGGGGTTATGTTGTGGATTGGATATCGTGTCTGAGAAATACATTTCCTGGGGTTATGTTGTGGATTGGATATCGTGTCTGAGAAATACATTTCCTGGGGTTATGTTGTGGATTGGATATCGTGTCTGAGAAATACATTTCCTGGGGTTATGTTGTGGATTGGATATCGTGTCTGAGAAATACATTTCCTGGGGTTATGTTGTGGATTGGATATCGTGTCTGAGAAATACATTTCCTGGGGTTATGTTATGGATTGGATAATGTGTCTGAGAAATACATTTCCTGGGGTTATGTTATGGATTGGATATCGTGTCTAAGAAATACATTGCCTGGGGTTATGTTGTGGATTGGATATCACTTCTGAGAAATACATTGACTAGGGTTATGATTTGGATTTGATATAATGTTAAAGAAGTTCATTGACTGGGTTAAGTTTTCGGCCTGTCTACGTTTCATGTTGAATATAATGTTTGGATAAATTCATGGACTGAATATCAAAGTTCAGATGTTGAATTATGTATGAGTAAAGATGAACTAGGTTCAGTTAACTAAAATTATATCATGCATTAAAAAAAAATTAAACGCAATATTTTATACGTTTTGTCATGTATTAAAAAAACTTTGACTAAGCAAAGTTAACAAACAATGCAAACCCAAATCGTTTAAAGTAATTTTTTAAAAACATAAAAATCGTGTATATTTATGTAAAAGTCTATATTTACTAAAGTATAACTGGGATATTTTAATATCATTTATGATCAACTAATTATGTTGTAAACTTGAACGTGAATCGTGTCGTATATTCAACTCAATACAAACTACCCAGATGAGCACAGGATAGTCTCTTACCCAGTGAACAACATGTAGTGATCGCTAGCAGTTATCCCACGTTGTCGTTGATACCAGTTAACAAAGGCCGTCAGACCATTGCTCGCGGTAAATACATTATTGGTAGATATATCATTGAGGAACTTGTCATCATTGGCTCGCTTAAAAGCATTGACAAATTAGTATACATTACAATATATATATGCATACATACAAGTCTATATATAAACACACACACACACACACACACACACACACATATATATATATATATATATATATATATATATATATATATATATATATATATATATATATATATATATTCGTTTGAAGGTATTTATAATGCTATACCTTTGAATACACACATAACTATATTCATATCTATATGAGAGAATATATATATATATATATATATATATATATATATATATATATATATATATATATATATATATATATATATATGTATATACTGACATGTGTATATGGATACCACTTTGCAGATATCGTGTATTGAACTGTCTGCTTTCCCCTTGCTGAACGATTTCGTGTTGTTTAAGTATAGTGATGTTATTTTTGTAAGCTTTAGACTACCTAGGCGTATCTCATTTGGTCGACTATAAACTTTTTTTTATACTTGACTTACAGATTTTAAATAAATCGAAAACGACAGCTGTTATGACGTCACTTACCGTTAAAATTTTCAGCCCAATCACGGAAGTGCTGATTGCAATGTTCGAGTCTTGAATAGACTGGAATCGGATTCTGATCTGTTCAAGTGGTTAAAAGAAAAATATTTTTTGACTTTATAGTTTGTGACAATTTACCTTAGAAAAATATTTTTTACTCATTTTTTTACAATTTAAATAAGGTAAATATTTTTCTAAATAATTTGTGACCATTTTACATTAGAAGAATATTTTTTACTAAATAACTTTCGACAATGAACAAAAGATAAATTTAGTTTGCTAAAACATTTTTGACAATTTGCCCAAAAACATATTGAATAATATTTCCAATTAACATCAGAAATATTATTTGCTAAATAAATTTTGACAACTGACATACATAACAATTACAATAAGTTGAATAATTTTTGCCAGTTTACCCAAAAATATTATTGAATAGCTTTTTCAATTTTCAGAAGAAATATAATTTAATAAATACTTTTTGCCAAAATATTATTGAATAACTTTTCCAATTTACATAAGAAATAGAATTTACTAAATAGTTTTTTTGCAATTTATATAAGAAAACTATAATTTATTAAATACTTTTCGCAATATACATATGCAAAATAAGAAAACTATTATTTACTAAAATTATGTTTGCCAATTTACATTGGAACATATTTTTAAATAATTGTTTTCCAATGTATATTAAAAATATATTTAACGAAATACTTTTTTTCCAATTTACATTGAAAATTATAATTCACGAAAGTCAATTGACTTATTTTAGCGTTTCCTTTTTAAACCAAAATTTACTTATAACATAACTTCTAAACATTTATATTAGTGGTGAATATTTTCTTTGATTTGAACGTTACTTGTGCATTGAAAAAAACCCCACAAAAAAACAACAACGAACTCACAGATTCAGCTACATAGGTATACCAAAGCCTCATCCTGGCCAACGCTCTTTGATTGAAATAACTGACCCACCTATAGGTATAATGAAACAATTTGAATATGTATGTTCTAAGGATTCAAGAACAACATCAGAAAAAATTACACAATTAAACAGGTACAGGTTGCAGACAAAAACACATTACATTTAAAATGAAAATTTAACATAAAATATAATACAATTATAATTATTTATGACTGATTAACGATTGGAGTGATAATACTATGTCAGTGTAAAATATATACGGAATTTTCGTTCGAATCCAATAGTTCTTGCAAGTGTGAGGTTTTAACTGTTAGAGTTTTTATTTTCTTAGAATTTTTTTTGGAACATACTTGCATATTTCTTTATTTCAGGTCCATGTTTAACAAGCTCAAATAAATACAATTTAAAAATTTCAATCTTTGTCGCATGAAACAAATTAGTTTAATGTTCCGAGTTTACAAACGGAGTCGTGAGAGTTAAATGAAATTACATTAAATATGTTTGAAATTAATGCTAGTTAGATTTCATAATGTAACTAAGTCAATTTATAAAAATATTTTGTTAGTAACGTATTATTTATTTTATCAACAAAACCATAAGTATCAATGGTAACAGACATACTGTCTCATGTTTTTTTGGTAGCTGTCGTTTAGCCCAGCAGTTACAAAAATAACCTGATCAGTAACTATAAATGTCGTTTAAACAAAGGCTAGCGACGTTGAATATCAAACTTGCATTAATTGCTTTAGTATAATTGATTTGTCTTATGATTTTTATGACTATAATTTCAGTGATTGGTATTGACGTTCAAATATTGCAGTTTACTAAACGGATACTAAATTCAATACTTAAATGGGTTAATGGATTACTGATAAAAAAAATTCTTGGTTTAGCTTGCAATTGCTCAACCACAATCAAGTACCTGATATCAAATTATGTTTTTCCTTTTTTTACGGAATACTAAATAATAACCAATATTTATATATCTTTGGCAATCAAACTTGTTTTTATTCTGTTTATATGTAAACATTCGAACGATCAAAAAAAAAATAATATCAACCATAGAATACACAAAATCACAAACATAAGCTGAAAAATATATATTATTAAAATGTTAACATTTATTTTAATTAAACAAAAATTAGTTACTAATCTTAAAATATTCTAATTGATTTTATTGTGATTAAATTAATGTGCGCTGAAACTATAAAACAAATCTAAGTTTCATCCACATTGTTATTTACTACTTAATAAACGACAGTTTAGTAAAATTATAAAATAGGTTTTTACTTAGTGTAATCAGCGTAGTCTACTACAAAAAAGATCTCAATGTTATGTTGGGTAACTGCTCTCTTGTGCCGTCCTATTTGACCAAAAGATTCATCTAAAGAGTCCAAGGGATCTTCATCTTTTAGAAGACAAATCGATCGCAACTATCAATCAATGTAAATGTTTTAAAAATACATGTGGTTAAAAACTGACTTTATTTATTCATTATATATATATATATATATATATATATATATATATATATATATATATATATATATATATATATATATATATATATATATAAACTTATTTACACAAACTAGAATATATATACATATATATATATATATATATATATATATATATATATATATATATATATATATATATATATATATATATATATATATATATATAAATATATATATATATATATATATATATATATATATATATATATGTATATATATATGTATATATATATGTATATATATATATACATATATATATATATATATATATATATATATATATATATATATATATATATATATATATATATTTATTTATTTATTTTTTTATTTTTTTATTTTGTATATTTATATCTATATATATATAAATATATATATATATATATATATATTCTAGTTTGTGTAAATAAGTTTATATGTAATTTAAAATTATATTTAAATTATATTTATGTGTGTGAAAATATGTTGACAAAAAAATTGTATATTCTAAAACGTATCAATAAGTAAGCATCTAATATATAAAGCTCAGTTCTGTATGTAATGCATTTGTATGTCGTTGGAATTGTACGAATTTAAGTGTTAGAAAATTATCGTGCGCATTTGTCTAAATTTATGAGCTAAAAAATTACTATTGAAAGTGTTGGGAAATAATTTTCATTTTTCAAATTATAGTAATAATTGTCGGCATGTTCATTAAACACAAGTTTTAAAAAAAATATCATCTTTTACAAAAATTCTAATTATGTCTTTATTTAGTCCTATAGCACTTACTTCCCTTTGATAAATTAGGAAAAACACAATTACTTCCCTTTATAAAACCATTGCATTTTGTGGAAAAGTATTTACTTTTTAATTACTTTGTTTTGGTGTTGGGAAAAAAAAATAATTACATAATTAGCGGGTGTAACGTTAACCTATCTATCAGCCAAATAGAAGGAGAACGTCCCCGGATTCTTTTTTCGGGGTCATATGCAAATGCCTTACGGCCTAAGTGGATGAACACTTAACACAACGACCACTAGGGCTCGAATTTAATGTCTAGGGAAGCTAGTGATACTAATGTAATTAACACTCATCCAATCTACATACGACCTTTTAATCAGCGAACACAGATGTGGTAGAACACAAAGATGAACTAGATAAAATATTTAATCTATAAAATATCAAAAACCCAACTTACAAAATGCAGGAAAAAAACACTATCACAGATTTCTACACTGTCTAAAGAACAGCTACAGGCCACACAACACTACTGTAGCTTCAAGACTTACTTAGCGACAAGTAATATTAAACTAGAAGACTAAATCAACTGAAGAAAGCAAGGCACACACAGGTCTTAAGTACTCTCACGTTCAAATGGTCAGAGTCTATAGCCGGACAATATGGACGGCTGCCTGATAAAGGTAAAACAGCCTCGTAGACTGCCAGGTCAAGATAAACTGCCTCGTGTTGCGAGTGTGCGGGGCAATTAAAGACTTCTGTGACAGGGGAGGTTATCCTCAACTCATGTCGCCATTGGTTGGGATAATCATCTGATCAGAATCATTCAATCAGATTTTAATGGAAATTTTCTATGTCTCAAACACCTTAATAGTCAATGGAAAAACCCCAGGTGTTACACCATCATTCCATATAAGGAATTATACAATGTCAAAATAAAAATGACTCGACCTAAGTAGGTCACATCCCCTCCCTTTTTGGAAGTGACAGATAGGTTCCACAAAAACATACATAAGGAGCCAATCTGGCAATGAAATAACAAAAATGTTTTACAAATGTAGGCAATCAAAATCATAACACCAGATGAAAATATCCCTGAACATAAAAGGGAAGTAACTCCAACTTTTACAATTGGTGAAAGGGGAGTAACCCTTCAAAAAGTAATTATACATCAAAATCCCTCAAAAAAGGGTATTACAATTTTTCCATGAGAATATTAAAAGTGGTAAACCCGCCAGGGTAAGACCTTTATTTCAATGACTAGCTACAATATCAATTGA